TCAGTCCGTTGCACTTTCCCCGACTTCCGGCAGGCTGTCCATAATCTGGATCTGACTTAGGAGCCAACACTATTGAAATGCATGATCATTGCGCTCACGTGAGGGTAGTCAACACGACATTTTCTGCTCAAAATATTCCGTTCTAGTCAGATGCCTTGCCCAAACGCTGTACAACTGTCCTTCCCCTAAGGTGATCGATGGTTAAAGATGACAGCCTACACATCTACCTTGGTTCTCCTACTAGTTGCTGTGCGTGTCACTGCTTATCTGATGTGAATTCGAGATGACTGTAACCAGAGTTGGGCTACAGTATTCACACTTAACTAATCGAGAGAATCGGTGGGCAAACAGTTAAGAATCGCAATCACTAACACAGGTTCATATGCATGAGAACTCAGGCAAAGTTGGCGAACATCTGACTATCATTTGTGTGGTAGGAACGCAAATGCACGCATTAGCTGCTAACGTTGACTAGTCCTTACTATTGCAATGGTAGCTGTCAGCGGTCATGCTAGAAGGAGTGTCCTTCCCCTTTCCGGTCAAGAGCGACGGTCTGGTACTGCTTGAGTCTTACTTGGATTGTATTGCATCCGCATATGGTTTTATACTAACAGTAAACAATTTATTCGTGTTTTGTTATCTCTACAATTTATAACAACCAAGTTTGCAACAGCTTTCTCGCCTAACTAATGGGGAAGTCCCATGGTCTTGATTCAATCCAGCTCGGATTCGTGACCATTCCCCATTTGGGTGTTCCGGTGATAAGGTTCGTCGCACCCGTCGTTATGGTTTGAGTAATCTACGCCCGAGTATTTACATGGAAAAGGTAGCTTTCTTTTACTCTATCTGCGCACCCAAACGGATGCTATTTCTCAGGTAATCCGAAAATCTAGCAAACGACCTAAATGGAACACAACTCCTTCATCCACAGGAGTTTAAACGTTGTTGAATGAATACTATAGAACCATATGGTCGAATTACAGCAAATACGATTCAATGCGGATGAGCTGGGCTATAATGTGACAAAGTGTTCGCCAACCTTCATCGTCCGGTGACTTAGGCTGAATGTCTCCACTTTCTAGAGCTAAACTTGGATTAAACTCGGTCTCAGTATCCTCGTGCTCGGAAGTTTTAGGGAGGTCCGATGCATTTTTCATGAATGTCAAGCATCTGAGACAGCAATATACGGTACATAAGCTCAAATCGGTTGGCCTAGAGCACGACAGCCAAGAATTGTAGTGACAATGGAGAAAAGGAAACCGACGGCTTCACTACTGCAAATCTGAGGTTACAGAGCCGAGCTGCTATTAGTACAAGGTCGCGAACACCCATCAGGCGTTCACACTATTAGCGGGTGTACCGCCAAATACAGCCTATGAGCAGATTACGTAGGAGGCTAAAACACCTAGTTCCCCACAGCAGTTTGAACAGCACTCTGAGAAGGCGGACACTGTTAGGTGTGCGCATTTCTTATTCTTTCATCCCTATAAATACATCGCCGCTGGTCACCCAGCACATATGACTGGTCTGATAACATCGTTAGAACGCTATATAATAAATCATTTATTGCTATTGTATTAGTACTTATGAGACACTACGAAATGCATGCAATTACCAGCGCTCACCTTCTTAGCGTGCGTATCAGGGTACATCAAGTGAGGTTGTTTAGTCTATCTCAAGCCCAATCCCCGTGGAACTATCTAGCCATATTCCCTAGTCTATGGTGCGGCACGTTGCCTTACGAGTCAGACCAGTAACCTTTAAACTCTAAAACGTGTCTCGTGACGAAAGGGATTAAACTGCTTTTACTAATCTACAAATCAATGCAATTTGTATTCCAGCCTAAATAGTTTTCTAAATATTTGGTAACATCTGTTATCATTAATACCTATGCTGGACCAAAGATGGCAGCACTGATTTTCTGAGAAGTTTCGTCTTGGTCAGTTCCAGACAGACAACTCCTTCTACAAACGGAAAACGCCGGTTTCGAATACATGGTCTTCGCATTCCAACCAACTACACATGCCACTGGCGACCGGGGGTTCATCGCTGTTAAGGGTCATCAGCTGCGATGTATTGCAACTCGTCCTGCACTACCATACATGCTGTTTCCTGGAAGTGAACAGACATCAGTTCCTTAGTTGGACCAACAACCATCTTGTAGCCTAGTAAGGCAGTTTGTGCTGGCAGTGACAGTCACATTAAAGGTACAAGCCCTGGTAACTTTCTTGTCTGCTTTTAGGTATCCGATGAAGAATGTTCTCTCTTTTCTTAGTCATGTAGCCGCACAAATGAATGTAGGTGTGTCTAAAGTGTGCCATAATTCACCAGAGTAAAGTGTCTAGAGAAGTGTACCTCAGTCTACTGCTCACCTCGAACATCAATTGTACAAATGCGGTCCTTTAATACGTTAAAGAAGTTTACTAAGTGTGATGTGTCGCGGATGAAGATCAGCAGCAACGGATGTCTGGGATATGGCTCAGGCCAATGCTTTCAAAATTCACGATTGATGGACGTTTTCTCACAACTCAGTTTAACATAACGTAGACCAGGAAAATCAGGGGAAAGGTTGCTATTTTAACCAAACAACTTTACAATGGAGCAATGGTTTATGCCGCGTATAAAAGCGAATGCTTGACATGTCCCGTAGGATAGTTTGGGTGATAATTACAAAATAAAAATGCAGTGCCAGTAAAAGCATGCGTAAAATACAGAACTCACCAAGGGGTTTGGACTAGCTCACGTACGAGTAGGGTTATGACTTCATCCACTGTTTGTTATACATCAATGTCATTATCTGAGGGTCACTGGGTATATCACGTAGTGTAAATGTGTCAGAGTATCGTCAAGGCGTTTTTTGAAAAGCGATAAGGTGGGGGCATTAATTACATGTGCCGGGAGGGCGTTCCATGGCTGTGACACTCGGAGGGAGAAAACGTTTCGTTGACATTCCAGTCGGCTGTACTGCGTGACTAGCTTAAACTGATGACCCCTTAAAAATATGTTTTGACTTAGTTTCAAAAGAGAATGACATATGTGGTTTGGGTTTCTCAGGATCTGGTACACCATTATGAGTTTGCCCCTTAGACGTCGATAACGCCCGCTGTATATTTTGAGGGTTTTCAGTCTGAGTTGACAAGGAAGACGGGGCAAACCTCTGAGGTTCTCTGTCACCCTGCATTGTGCGGTATCGAGTGCAGTGCGAAGGTGCTTCAGTCAGGGATGTCACACTTGAATAGCGTATTCCGTGTGCAGCCTTGTGCACACACCAGGCATTTTCGAAATGATTAAGGCATCAAACTTCCCGTTAGCTCTACGAAGAAGGCCGAAGTGCTGTTTTATTTCCTTTGATGTCTTTTCAGTCCGCCTCAAGCACCCAATATCCTCTTGAACAAGTACGCGAAGATTACTCACAGTCTGTGTG